CAGTGCCGTCTCGTTGTAAAGGGCTAACAAGCTTCCAAGGCACATCCTTCTGTCGGGGACGGCCCGTTTGATCTCTGCTGTTTCTAAGGTGGGTGAGCGGGCCAGCCCACCCCTTGTGCGAATCATCCCATCTCATCTCATGTCCCTGCTTGTCAAGATGTGATTTACTATCCTGCAAGCATGCTCTGCAGTTAGGTCTTATATACCCCCAGTTCACTGCTTATTTTTGGGTCACCATCCTCCCCCCATCTTTTAGTTTTTTCCCAATATATTTCTCATTATATTCTTATACTACAGCAAGTCACTATTGCATATCATCACTTGCACTTTACGACTGACCCTCCCCTTTTTCCCCCAATGAGCTACCATCGAAGGCATATCCTCGCAAAGAGATTGGCCTAGAATATTAAGTCTCGTGTATCTGCTATCCCTAGCTGTACTTCATTGAAGTCTCAAAGAGCGAGGACTCACTCAGCATTATCATTCCGAATTTGCCCAGGACTCGCGAAGCCCAAACGACGTATGGGAGAGCTCTCTACGTCTTCCTCCGGATTGGCGGCTTACAAACGGCTCCTGGGGAAAAAAGTATCCTGAGCATATTAGATCATTATTGCCAAAACTAGCTCTGCGGCGTTCCTGCTATCCTTTTAGACATTGAAGCCCCGCGACCACACCCTTCCCAGGAATTGATGGTTTCGTTGGTCTTTATATTTAAAGTAGTCAGCGCCGAGCAAGTCCGAAAGTACGTTCAATTTAGTTCCCAAGACCGATTACGCTATGTCCCTGTTTTCGGGACTGGCTGCAGCTGACCGTCTTTCAGATCCGTCGTGCTTGGGCTTCTCGTGTCACACACGAGTGGGAAGCATCAATCGATATTTACAATAAGGCCATTAGACCTGGAATAATCAAAAGGCTCGGAGTTTCTTGAAGAAGGCCGAGTGGTACACACATTATTTGCCCTCCCTCACTCGCTTTCGTGAACAATTAAGTTTCTAACACTCAAATCGTAGGTTTTAGATATCTGTTAGAGGTAGAACCAAGCACTGTTGAGTGGCCTATCGATATTTCGTTTGTGGACTAGAATGGCGAGCTTTACGAACGGCTTCCCGCAATTCTCCAAACTGCCACCAGAACTACGGGATCAGATCGTAGGTGATCCTTCCAACTTGCTACCCTTCTGAGATATCCTCCGTGCTGCTTGTCCCCAGTTCACTAGGGAATCTCTGTGATGGCCGCTAATACTCGCTGTTGATGAGACCGCTAATGGATTTGTTCTTCGTCGTAGTGGGCCCATTCTTTCCCGGAGACCCGAATTTACGAAGTGTTGGATTCGCCCTGTTCTTCTCCGTCACAAGCTGGGGCAAGTGCCAAACTTATTTTTGCTGATGTTCGAAATGAGCCTCCTCCTGCCCTAGCACGAGTATGTCGAGATTCTCGGCAAGCGGTGCTGCGTTATTACAAGCCCTTGGTGTTCTCCGGAATCGTTAAGCATATAAATCTTAGCCGCGACATTCTCCTTCTCGACTCGTACCTACAAGTCAGACGTCTTCTTAAAGTAATTCGCTTGTTAAGTCAGATCGAGTCCGTCAGGCGCAGCGCTTCTAGGATAGCGCTTGGGACGTCATGGGGTTTACATACCGGGTTGCACCTCCGTCTCTTTCACAAGACTGTACGGACGAATCAGATCATGGCACGACTCCTTCAGCATCTTTCCAAATTTACCAATCTCGAAGCGATCATCTTAGTTGTGTATCAACGCTCTACATTCAACCTAACTTTCAATCAATCGAATCGCACAACCGTCCCTTGGGATCATCATGATTTGTGGGAAGCGTACCATTACCGATTCAATGTCAATTTTAACCTCGAGAATTACTGGCTGCGCAGACCCTACGAGACGAAGCTAGTTCGGTATGATCCCGAAGTCCATAAGACTGCGAAACCGTTGGCATCCACGCGGATGTCAAAATCATCTTGTCGTGACCCTCAGCCACGAGGACACCAGTACGCATCCCCGGGTCTTTTATTTCCCCCATCGCTATTCTCCCACTTACTCCTGAAAGCCTCAAATAACTCAAACCCCCTGCTATTCGGCTGCGATCTCTAACACCTGAATTCATCTAGAGTGCGAGATTTGAAGAGGATGTTCGAGAAGTCACTACATAGTGTGGCGGAGAACGACCGCCGATTTCCCGCCGGGTTGTATGAGCCCCCGAAGCTAGAGACAGCGACACTGACCTGGATTTATACGGGATTCGGCTATGGCGATTGTCCTTGACAATAGAAACCACCTCTCTCCATTACGATCCATAATGATCTCAAGTGGCAATCAAGTTCGACTTATCAAAAATATCATTGAATTCAACAATACTTGTTTACGAACCTGGAATTCTGGTGTATGGAGAACATGTTGCTTGTGAATTGACTAGACATGGCCGCAGTACATTGATTGCATGGACTTGAAAGCGTTTACATCAAACTCTAGCCATATCGGACCCGTGCCCAGACAATTGCCTTGGTGTGGGCTGCCATTTCCCATGTCCAGTTCATATTCCATGAAGGAAATCCTATTCGTAGGTCTTCCGACATAGACAAAGTTGGTGACTTATCCATCGACAGAGGCTTTTTCAGCAAGGTCAAGGGACATTGCGTGTATTTGTCAATATTGTGCACTAAGCACATGCAAAGAGGAAGGTGCAATCTGCTTGTTCAACATTTCAAGCAAACTCACGCTGGTGACTTGTTTCGTGATGGTCAGAAATACAAGCCACAACACTGGCAAAGCCCAAGGCTATCTTTCCACCCAATGGACGGCCCAATGGACAACCCACTGCGACGACAACATAGCCGTCATTTTGTGTCGTCAACAAAATAACAAATAGCTGGTCAGCAGCTGCAGGACCTTTTAAATCCTCTTCAGTCTCTTCTTTGTCACCACCTTTGCAGCTCAGCATCGTGATCTCTATCCAGCGACCTTAATAGAGGATTCTTTGTCTTGCACCTAGTAAGCATTCTTCTCAGTTTGGCTAAGAGTATGAAAAATCTTTGGTACCTCGTTTACTACCACCTGACACTTTCCAGATGAACGCGATGACTCCCACTGGCATGGGACCTTCAAGCGCTAATATCCGCGCCGAAACCCTGAGAATGGTCCTCGAGAAGTGCGAGGGTGATATCAGTGATAGTAGAATAATATGTCTTCGTTTCGCTGCCGAGGACAAGCATGGCTATAGAGAATTACAACTCTCCAAGCAGAACCTTCTCCCCGTACCTCTCAGTCTCTCCCAAGGGAGTAGGGCCGACTCCCTAGATAATTCCACAAGTCCTATTCGTTTTAGGCGGGAAATCATTGGCAGGCAGAAAGACATTGTCTACTTCGATTTTGACACCATGGAGGAACTCGAGCTCTACCAGACCGGACCGCTCCAGCAAGTCACAGGCATAACGACCGTCGCTGTCCACTGGCAGTCTTTCCGCACCCGAGAGCAGCTAAAGGAGAGCCTCATGAGCGTTTACAGCCGGCTCCGCAACATCGAGAGGATCATAATAACTGTCGATCATAACTATTGTTGTGCCCCAGCCGACAGCGCCTGTTACCGCACGCCGCCGCTCGGCTTCTACGACATGTCTCACAGCACCATGCTGCAATACGAGAGCAAAATAGTTAACTGGTGCACCATCGGCCGGGAGATTCAACAGATGGTCCGAAACAAGGCGTTCTGGAGGGAGTGCAACCGCCGGTACGCGCTCGAGCAGATCCTCCCTATCAAGACCAACCCGCCTCGTATTCCCCAGATCCATCTCATGGAGGTCGCCAGACACTGTGACAACGAGGGAGCTCTGCGTCTACCAACCCAGCGCCCCACGCTGATGCGCGACCTTGCTCCTGACCTGGCTGATATCGATGAGCTCCGGAATCCAGAGCAGCCAGAGGAGGAGCTCGCTCCTTCGGACCACAGCTTGATGGACCTGCTTGATTGATTGTGTAATCGATCACATTACGACAACTCTCCGAGATGCGTGCATCGCCAAGTTTTCCTTTGGCAGTGTTGCCCAATTTTGCCGCATCCCAGATGAGGAGAGTCGTTCAGCTTGGAACAACGAGGAATATGTTTAGAGCTCTGGGGCTGGGGGCTGGTGAGCTAGGAGGTCACATGTCACAATGTAGCGTCTTTCCATGATGAATTACAGCGATTTGGGAACCATTTTTCAGGGTGGTTTATAGCGAGGGCGGTCTTTTTATTGTATACTTAGTTTTTAACAGCGACAAAATTGAATTTGTGGTTCTCTCCGCTGTCTGTCACAGATCCGGGGTCTTCTATGCTGGCTTGCTCGAGGCTCCAGAGTAGATTGTTTCTTGATGCTACGAGACTAGAACGTCATCCATAGCCGTCATGATTCCAATCTACCCTGGTTTGTTTCCTTCACACGGCCTTAGAATACCTAACAAGTGGTAGATTAACGGCGCAAGATGGATCTTAGTAATTCACTGAGGAGAGGAAACATCTAGCGCACGCATATAGTCGAGCGGCCGGCCCCCATGGCAGCGGGCTAGGGTAACTTCTATAGTCCACAGAAGAATAGTCGGTTCTGTGGCGGCGGCGACGCTGAGAGCCCGGATGTAGGTCTTCAGGATAGGCCATCTCAGGAGCAATGGCCTAAAGTGGACCAACCACAGGGTACCGGTCTGCGTAACGCTCGCGATTCATTGCCTTAGAACGTATTAACGTCGAAGAACACCAAGGATCGCAGTAGAGAAATCGCCCAGATAAATCTGGAGATTGATAACCAAGGTCAGCTCGGGCTCCTTGGGGGTTTGGTTGCCAATTGTTAGGTACCTAGTAGCGAGTGGAACAGGTGGGCTAAGGAGTTGTATGTACACGTGTAGAGATACCTAGGTACTTACATGTAATCAATGGAAGGCAGTCTCTCCCCGTACCTTCCCCACCAATTCTGGAATATGAATCCTCGATCATGAGGAACAACATTATCGAGACATAGGCTAGGTGGCAGAGTGGTCTAATGCGGTAGACTCGAATTGAATAATTCTGCAATCTATTTCCCTCGGGAGCGTCTGTTCGAATCAGGCCCTAGTCGATCTTTTTGTCAGAGTAATGAGTGATTTTTATCTCGATGTGACATGACAACTGATGGGGTGATACCTAGGTACTCCCGGTAGGCTGGCAAGCTATGTGGGGCCGCTCGGCAATGCAGGATTTATGTGGGTCTGTGACACTTTGTCACCTGCCCTACCCACTATATGTAGCAATACAGCACCAGACCATTCACACACTTCCTTGCCTAATGTACAGTACATGTAATACCGTAAGTGTAATATCGTCATTTGAATTGAAACTTCCGCAGACTTCTTCTATTAGGATTTCATCCTATCTAGGCATCGGACCAGGTAATAGGTTAATCCAGGTGAGGAGAGAAGGGGGGGGATGTATACATATAGACATCGCTCGGCAACTCACATGTCGCCTCAGTCCCGGCGGCCCTGAAGAACTCCGCCTTGGCGTTACATCTCACTACCTAGTAGGAGTGCAATGTTCCTCAACAGGTTCCAAATTGACACGGCGGGAGTCACCGTATTGTTAAGGTGATCCAAAATCGGTTTAATTAATGGAAATCAGCTCGAGATGTCGGAATTTATTCCTTGAAAATGAATAAACCCCATCATTTGCATCGCGGATGGAATCTCGGGGCATCGTTGATCAGAGAGAACCCTATGAAACCAAGCAGTTGCCTAGGCCACACTTTGACAGCACCGGAGGCCATTGCTACCCAATCCGAGTGTTGATCAAGCATCCCTATCGGCTCTCCAAATTGCGAATTTGGCCGTATTATCAAATGTCCTGATGTCGAACAGCCCAGCCATGTTGATGTTACTGTTCTTACGGGCACACGCGGCCGTCTGCGATGGCAACCACTTGTCCTTTGCCCTCGTCCATACAGCTTGTTAAGGGAGCAGTCTGCGAAATTTCGTTGGCTCTTAGTATCTATCATACGAGCTCGGTCGTTCCGCGATACAATCTCTCCCACCATTTCAATGTAGCATACTTTGTCGATCGACGCTATACTATGTAGATGCTGACCTAGGGTGATGAGCCGGGCCCTACTGGTTGGCGTTGCCTACGACGGATGGGAGACCACACGTCAATCAGCCAAGGCAACCCGGCAACTCTTTAGAAACTTACCAGCTCACTTCCATGCACATTACAAAACAACTACAGCCAGGAGGTGGAAACGGAGGAGATAATACAAGCGGCATGTAGATCATTGTACTATTTAGTCTAGGCGTGGTGAACAGGTGGAAGGATTGCATGCTTGCTTGGAAAGTTACGCGGATTGGGCAGCACTTATTTTCCCCCTCGCCAACACCCCGAATCCCTGAACCAGATCGTCTCGCAGATCTTCCCAGCCCTCAACGCCTATACTCAGCCTCAACAAGCGCTTGTCGACACCCGCATCCGTCATGGAGCGCCACTCGATGAGACTCTCCACACCACCCAGGCTCGTAGCGTGATGGAAGAGATTCAGCTTGCTGGGCAGTTTCCTCGCATCGTCCGCATCCCTCATATACAGCGCGAAGACGGGGCCAAAGCCATTCGGCATCTGCTTCTTCAGCCAGCCGAGCGCCTCCCCCTTGCTCCCGACCTGCAGGCTCGCGTGCTTGATCTCCGCGACCGTGTCGTGGACCACGCTTCCCTCGCGACCCCTCTCGGCTTCCAGCCACCGGACCAATTTCTCCGCATCGGCGCTCTGCTTGCGGACGCGCAGCTCCAGCGTCCGGAGACTGCGGATGCCGAGCCATCCCTCCAGACTGCCCATCACCGACCCCAGGAAAACACGCTCCGCCAGCAACGTAGGCAGCCACTCGTCGGCGCGCCGCGGCGCGATGGCCAGGACGCCGCACAACATGTCGCTGTGGCCGCCGAAGTACTTGGTGCCGCTGTGCATGATGATGTCGACGCCGAAGGCGAAAGGGTCGAGCAGCGGGGGCGGCGCAAACGTGGCGTCGACGGAGAGAACCGCGCCGGTGCGCCGCGCCTTCTCGGCGTAGAACTCGAGGTCGCGCGCCTCGCCCGTGGGGTTCAGGGGCGTCTCGACATGGATCAGGTCTCCCGGCCCCAGCTCCTCGTCCGCACAGTCCAATTCCAGCTGCTTCAGCCCCGTCAGCTTCGATATCACCTTGAGCACGCCGTGGCAGCCGTGGTACCCGCCCCCGATGGCGATGCGCTTCGGGTTCAGGAACACGACCATGGCATGGAAGGCCGACAGCCCTGAGCTGTACGACAGCGCTGGCCCGCGGAGGATCGAGGTCAGGATAGCCTCGAAGCGCTGCGTGTTTGGCGCTGTCATCCGCGAGTAGACGTGTGAGTCATGCGGGTTATTCGGCTGTTCAAGTTGGGAGTTTTGTTAGCTGTAGCGCCTAGATTTGGCTCGTAGAGGGAATTGCTTGCTTTCTTGCTTGCCTGCATAAAAGCATGAGATTGGGGGATACAGTTTTCATGGGATAACGATGCTACGGGATATGGCATCGGGGAGATAGATGTCTTACGCTGGTATTGTTCATATAACTGAGGTCGTCTGGGTTTCGGCTATACCGAAATGTGGTCGAGACGTGCATGGGCGGCGCCACGGCTGCATGGGAGTTGAGGAAGTCGTCTGCATGGACGGTTTGCGCTGAGAGTGACAGGTGTTGGAGTCTGGATGCTAGCGCGGTAGCATCTTGCCTCGACGGCCCCTTTCCGTTCGTCCCGCCATTCGTTTCTTTGTCTGCCATTTTATCCCCTTCTTCGACTCGCGAGATGTTTTCTAAAGGGGCGAGGTCTGATGTCCCTTTACCCAACGTGCGTGTTGGTATTCTCCAGAGCTGAGATGGTTACAAGTGTCAACAGTCCCGAACAAGCGGAACGATGCGACGAATATACGGGACAATTCTTGAAAATATCTTTCCCTCGAGTACCTAGTTCTATGTGGGCCAATAAGAGAATAATGAGTAATATGTAACTTGGAACTGACAACACATAAATTCTAGGTTCTTGTAGCGGGGTAAATAAATAGATGGGTGGTATTTCGAGTGCCACCTTACGCCTAAGGAAGCTCCGTTAGTTCCTTCGAAGACCCCATCCGGGCTGCTCTCCAATTATAATAGATTAGATATCTATACCCGTGATTTTGCGCCATCGTTTGGCGCATGATAAAGACGGGTGGGCAAGGTTAGGTTCATGTACAATAGGGCGCGGCGACAGCTGCCGGTATCGGTGTCTTCTCATCATTGGGATATCCGGCCGGGATTCGGGCGTAGTGCCGGTGGAGGCACACTCAGGGCAAGCGGGGGATTTTAAGGGGCTTTCTTGCTAGCGGGCATTTAGAAAGCAAGTAATTTTCTATCCTATGTCGAGACCTCATTGACAAAACTTCACGACTTTAATCCCCCACGTGATAAAGTCGAACTGTTAATCCGCGTCCACATTCCTTTCGTAACGTTTTAATCACTGTATAATCCACTCTCACAGCTATTTTATGGTGGATCTTGATCCCTTTCCAACAGGCGGCGGAGATAGAGATTATCTGACAGACAGGAGACGTCAAACGGGCACATCATCGAGATAGATCTGTACACTCAAGGGCAGCAAACAATAAAGATGATATACTCGAGTGATGTGATGCAGTGCTCGGATTTTAGGCTGGCCAGCCAACTGTTCAGATACGGTATTTAGACTTCAGGTAAAACTTTGTGAAATAAATCGCTTCGCTGGAGGAAGTTAGAAACCACGGAGGAGTATTTCGGGAATACCCGTCTCGCTGGTGGAGCGGCTGATGTGAACAAGCCGTGGCTGATGAAGTCTCCCCGTAGAATTGTAATATTGATATCGACGGATAGAGAAAAAAGAGAAAACAACTCCCCTCAAGTAAAACGCCACGCCAATGCAAAAAGGTATATCATATCCCTGCTCCTCAAAATGCAATGCGCCTCTTCCGCCCGGTGTACTTCGACGTCGCCTTAACGACCTTTCCTTTCCGTTCCATCTGCTCCTTCTTACGGATAATCCAGGCCTTGCTGCCCTTTTTCATCTCACCCTTGCCACTCTTCTTTTGTGCCCTGTTATCGAGAATGTCGACACCATCCATCCCCTTCACGACGCCGGTGATATCACCGCCCTTCTCTTCAAGCGAGCCACCGCCAACCGTCAACACTAGGTAATATTTAATGTTTTTCGTCTCGGGGTCATCCTCCAGCAGACCGGCGCCGAAGCCAGCCTTGACAGCAGCGCCCGTGATCATCTTCTTCTGCTCGTCGTTCTTGGGGTAGAATTGACAGACAGCGCGCCCCCCTCGTTTCAGGCTCGCATACAAGCCATCGAAAAAGCGCGATAGCCGCCCTATGGGTGATATTTCGCTACTCTCGGCGTTGCATAACCACTGGATGGCGCTGATGCTGATGGCGGCGTCGAAGGTACCCGCGCGGAAGGGCACGCCCTGGCCAATGTCGGCTAGCATCAGGTCGCCCTCGACATCCCGTTGCAGCGCGACGTCCAGCATAGATGGAGCCACGTCCATCCCAATCCACGTGTGTGGACCACCCTCGTCGGGCGGCACTGCCGATAAGATCTCGCCGGAGAGCCCGCTGCCACAGCCGACATCAAGGATGAGGGAAGGGGACTTGAGGTCGAGCAGCTCGAGGGCACGCTCCGTCATGGAGGCCTGGATGTTCTGTATCCGCGAGGACGTTGTATATTTGCGGGCCTCGGTGTCATCGTAGTGTATGTCGGCGGACCTGAGAACGGCATAAGCGGGATGTCGTGCCGCGGGCGCTGTTTGGTGTCTGCACCGGGCTCGGAAGAGGCATGGTGGGGGAGGAGGGGTCTCTTACAGAGTGTCCTCTGGGCGCGACATCTTGTCAATTGGTCTGTATTATTATGCAAAGTTGTCTTGGTATTTACTTAGGAGGCCTATTAGCTTCGTAGAATTCGTAGCATTCTCATCTGGGAGCTTTGTCACTGTCACGCCGGAAAGTTCCAGGAAGAAGCAGATGGCCTCGATTAGTAGACCTGCCGGCGCACTCACTCACCTCGCTTGCTTTCAAC